CCCAAAAAGCAACTTTTTCCCCCCCCAAGGTGACGACTCCTGCCCCAAAAGTTACTTCACTCTCAAAAGTGTAACTTTTGTCCCCAAAAAGCAACTTTTATTCCCCCCAAAAGTAACGTTTTTCCCCCAAAAGTGATTTCTCCTCCCCCAAAAGCAACTTCACCCTCAAAAAAGTAACTTTTTTCCCCAAAAAGCAACTTTTCTCTCGGCAAAGTGACTTCCCCTAAAAGTAAGTTCCCCCAAAAAGTTACTTTTAACACCCAAAAGAAACTTTTCTCTCCCAATAAAGTGCCTTTTGTCCCCTAAAACTGTCTTTTGTCCACCAAAACTGACTTTTGTTCCCCCAAAAGCGGCTTCTCTTCCCCAAAACCACAACTTTTCCTCCCCAAAAAGTAACCTTTCCCCCAAGTGACTTTTTTTGCCTAAAAAAGAAACTTCTCTCTCCCAATAAAGTGCCTTTTGTCCTTAAAAAGCAAGTTTTGACCCCAAAAAAGTGGCTTCTCTTCCCTGAAGGCAACTTTTTCTTCTCCAAAAAGTGACTCTTCATTCCCAAAAGGCAAGTTTCCCCCTGAAAAAAAGGTGCTTCTCCCTCTCAAATCCAACTCCCCTAAAAGTGACTTATCTCCCTAAGAAAACAAACTTTTTCTCTTCAAAAAAAAGTTACTTCTCTGCCCCAAAAGCAACTTTACCCCTCAGAAGTAACTTTCTTCTTCTCGGACCTACTTTTATCTTCCCCCAAACCCGATTTCTCTCTCTCAAAAAGCAGCTTTCCCCCCTCAAACCCAACTTCCCTCTCCCAAATCTCTCCAAATCCAGCTTCTCTCGGAAAAAACCAACCCTCCTCCTCCTCCAAAAACGTGACTCCTCCCCCTTACGAAGCAGCATTTCCCCTGCCAAAAGCGACTTCTCCTGCCCCAAAAGCAACTTTACCCCTCAGAAGTAACTTTCTTCTTCTCGGACCTACTTTTATCTTCCCCCAAACCCGATTTCTCTCTCTCAAAAAGCAGCTTTCCCCCCTCAAACCTAACTTCCCTCTCCCAAATCTCTCCAAATCCAGCTTCTCTCGGAAAAAAACAACCCTCCTCCTCCAAAAACGCGACTCCTCCCCCTTACGAAGCAGCATTTCCCCTGCCAAAAGCGACTTCTCCCCCTCAAAACCAACTTTTCCCTCACAAAACCCAACGTTTTCCCCCCCAAAAAACAACTTTTCCCTCCTCCAGACTCCCCCCTTCCGGGATAACAACCCTCTTGCCTCCTCCCTCGCTCAACACCCCGCTTTCCTCCTCAAAAACTCGTCCCTTCCCTTCCCCCTTCGAAAAAAGTAACTTTTTTTCCTCCCCAAAAGCCAGTTTCCTCCTCAAAAACTCGTCCCCCCGCCCTCTTCGGGGAAAAAAAAAGTAACTTTTTTCCTCACAAAAAGCCACTTTCCCCCTAAAAAACGCGTCCCCTCCCTGCTCCCTTCGAAAAAAAGTAATTTTTCCTCACAAAAAGCTACTCTTCCCTCAAAAACTGGTCCCCTCACCGCCCGCTTCGATTTTTCTCACAAAAACCCACTTTTCCCCTCAAAAACTTGTCCCCTTCCCTGCCCGTTACAAAAAAATAGAACTTTTTCCTCACAGAAAGCCACTTTCCTCCTTAAAAATCATGCCCTCCCTACCCGCTTCTAAGAAAAGTCACTTTTTTCCTCATGAAAGCTACTTTTCCCTCAAAAACTCGTCCTCTTCTCTATCCGCTTCGATTTTCCTCACAGAAAGCCACTTCCCTCCTCAAAATCTCGCCCCCTCCCCACCCACTTCGAGGAAAAGTAACTTTTTTTCCTCACAGAAAGCCGCTTTTCCCCAAAAAACTCACCCCCTTCCCTGCCTGTTTAAAAAAAGTAACTTTTTTCCTCACAGAAAGCCACTTTCCTCCTCAAAAACCATGCCCTCCCTACCCGCTTCGAAGTAACTTTTTTCCTTACGAAAAGCCACTTTTCCCCTCAAAAACTCGTCCGTTCACTCTGCGCTTCGGGGAAAAAAAAAAAAAAAAAAAAAAAAAAAAAAGAGGTATCTTTTTTTCCTCACAAAAAGCCACTTTCTCCTCAAAAACCCGTCCTCCTCCCCGCCCGCTTCGATTTTCCTCACAGAAAGCCACTTCCCTCCTCAAAATCTCGCCCCCTCCCCACCCGCTTCGAAGAAAAGTAACTTTTTTCCTCACGGAAAGCCGCTTTTCCCCAAAAAAACTCATCCCTCTCCCTGCTTCTTTTAAAAAAGTAACTTTTTTCCTCACAGAAAGCCACTTTCCTCCTCAAATCTCGCCCCCCC